CCTGGAACCCTAGACCCGATCTTTCTGCATCATTATTCGAGCCAGATCGATCTGTGAGGGTCCCGGGGCCCGAAAAACAGACGAGAACGCCCGCCTCGGACAAATCGAGACGCCAGGACCTCAGGGAGTGGCACCGCACAGCCCGACGGTCGCTGACCCACGTCGAGGCGCGCTCGAGGGAGGCACGTCACACCGAGGTCGGGCCGACCCCATGGCTGCGAGGATGCCCATCCGTGCACGTCGGTCGGAAGAAGCAAGTAAAAACATGATGTAGGAAGGCGGATAAAGCAGACTTGGCACAGGCCCTCTCAGAGAATAACACAACACACCACAAGCATATCGATTCTTGAAGTAGGAAGGCGCATGAAGCAGATTGGAATTTGGGAACCCAGAAACACACACTTTCAACGACCGACGTGTATCCCTCTCGTCCGACCCAGGCGCCACTGGCCTCCGAGGCTCGACAACACCTCATCCTAAGCGGTGCGCGGTGCTTAACAAGTAGGAGCGGAAGCAGGAGGAGGAGGAAGAGAAGGGGGAGGAGAAGCAGGACGAGGAGGAGCAGGAGGAGGAGCAGGACGAGGAGGAGGAGGAGGGGGAGTAGGAGGAGGAGGAGCAGGAGGAGCAGGGGGAGGAGAAGGAGGAGGAGGAGGAGGAGGTGGAGAGGGAGGAGGAGGAGGAGGAGGAAGAAGAGGAGGAGGACCACGACCCTATCGACGAAGCTCAACGGCAGGCGGCAGGTGCCTATTGCCGCTGCTGCAAGACGGAGTTTAATACGAGACCAAGGCTTGTTATTCACTTACGCTACCGCTCCCCTGCAGCCATGGAGTCTCTCCAAGAAACGCATGGCGGCCTAACCCACAAAGAGGTGCACGAGCTCATGGAGCTAGACAAGTCACACATCGCAGAGCTCAAGCGGCAAAGCTACCACGCGACCAAGGCGCTACGATTAGGTCGGGCGTGTCCTCCTACAGACGGATGTTGGACGAAGAGATTGCAAACATCGGGGGCGATGACGTAACATGGACGCATGTGATTTTGCGAGCAGCAATCCGAAGGCTCGCAGGCCCCCGATCAAGATCTAAGGGCTACGTAATAACAAATCACCCCCGTTGGCTGCGCCATGCGCCCGTTGCGCCCAACGTATACCACAGCAGCTCTCCAGAGCCCTCCCAGGGACGGCGAGGTCCCGCTCAGATCCCCGCGGTGCCTCACTCCGCAGGACCCACCAGCAGCCCTCGAAAGTGGCGACAGTGTCGCAGATCGCAGCCCCCCAGGGACGGCGAGGTCCCGCTCGGATCCCCGCGGTGCCTCACTCCGCAGGACCCACCAGCAGCCCTCGAAAGTGGCGACAGTGTCGCAGATCGCAGCCCCCCAGGGACGGCGAGGTCCCGCTTAGATCCCCGCGATGCTGCACTCCGCAGGACCCACCAGTAGCCCTCGAAAGTGGCGACAGTGTCGCAGATCGCAGCCCCCCAGGGACGGCGAGGTCCCGCTCAGATCCCCGCGGTGCCTCACTCCGCAGGACCCACCAGCAGCCCTCGAAAGTGGCGACAGTGTCGCAGATCGCAGCCCCCCAGGGACGGCGAGGTCCCGCTTAGATCCCCGCGGTGCCTCACTCCGCAAGACCCACCAACAGCCCTCGAAAGTGGCGACAGTGTCGCAGATCGCAGCCCCCCAGGGACGGCGAGGTCCCGCTTAGATCCCCGCGGCGCCTCAGCCCTCGAAAGTGGCGACAGTGTCGCACATCGCAGCCCCCCAGGGACGGCGAGGTCCGCACAAAGCAAGAGGAGAGGGAGACGGGGGGCGGGAGGAGGGAGGCGGGAGGAGGGAGGCGGAGGAGAAGGCGGGAGGAGGAGGAGGAGGAGGACTGAAAGCCGCAGTGCTCTATTCAAAACGAAAACCCAACCAAGGAGGGTTGGGAAAAATCGTCACCAGACTATCTTTGAATATTTTTGAATATTCCTCCTGTAGAGGGACACGCCCGACTTAACGCTACGACCAGCTCGGCATGACGCACCACGACGGAAAGTTCGTCCGGGGCAGCGCCGTGTCAGCGCGCTGTGGTCAGCAAAATGGCAAAGAGACCTTAGCGGAGAGCCCTTCGGCACCGGCACCAGACACAGTACAGCTCAAAGTCACTAACCTTAGGTCGGGCATGTCCCCCTACAGGAGGATATTGAACGAAAAATCAAAAATTCTCAAAAACAAAAACCAAAACAACAAATGCTCAAAAAGTTGTCCCCTGACGATTTTTTGACTATTTTTGAATAGTCCTCATCGGCAGTTACTTGCACGACCATCCTGATGAAGACGATGTTGAAGCTGATGGCAGCCCAGTATGGTCGGCGCCGGTGCATCTGCCCACGTGCAAGTATATTCTCCGCTTATTTTCAGGACGCAGGCGGCCTGGCGGTCTTCAGTACTGGCTTGAGTCCGAGGTGGAATTCCCATGCATGATTCTATCGGTGGATGTGGTTACCTCGGCAGACATCGCTGACCCTACAAATTGGACGCAGATATCAGGTTCGCGAAGATGATCAAGCAGGGGTTCATCCTCGGAGTACTGGCAGGCCCTCCATGAGAGACATGGTGTGGTGCCAGGTACGCGAACTACAGAGAACCACCACCAGTACGTTCAGCTGAGTTCCCCTTGGGCCTGCCTGGGATGGAGGTTCGGTATCAGCAACAAGTGGAGCTGGGAAACCTATTAATGCGTGCAGCTTTGCATCTGGCGGCAGTATGTGCTATTTCATGTATTCCTATGCTCTTGGAGCATCCAGCACACAACTGGCGGGCCAAGGCAGCATCATGTTGGGCACTTCCCGAGAAGAAGTAACGTCATCCCAGTCACATTTGACCAGTGCGTGAGAAAACGACCACAATCCTCCAGATTTCGTGTGCAGCGTTCAAGCGGAGTTTTGACCAGCGTGCAGACCGAGGGCACTGTCCACACATCAAGGGCCACGAGGTCGCAACAGGGCGACGAGCAGACGGCACTTACAGAACGGCGAAGCTGAAGGAGTCCCCTGCAGAACTATCAAGGACACTGGCAAATGCGATGCTCACCACCTGGACCCACCAACCCTTCGAAGAAGGTACCACATACTACGACATGGACCCCGACCTTGCCCAGCTATATGTACCATTGGTCGAATACCAAGAATACTCCGAGCATCGGCACGACTGTTGGCGTGGGCGACATGGCGAGTCTAGATACAACACCGCCTGACCCACGGCCAGCAGAGCGTGCACACAGACTGACAGTCGACTGATGCCACAATTGGTGGAGTCTCTGAACACGGCGCCGTCGGCGTGCCGACGAAGGCCCTGCCGCGGGCTGCAGCGGCGCCTGGCCGCGGCAGTGCTGCCGTCGCCCCAGGCGGGAGCGGTGGGGGCCCCCAAGCCCCAGTGTGCCCACCCGGGGCGCCGGGTGGCCCGCCCGAGGGAGCGAGCGGCGGGGGCTCCCAGGCCCCAATGCCCTCGGGCGGGCCGTCGTCGTCACTCCACCTCCACCTCCTCAGAATGGATGCGGATGTATATACAGAGGGCAGAAAACCCACCCCCATAACAATCAACCCGACAAGCGAAGCCGTCTAGTAAACGCACCCAAAGAAGGAATCGAACAGGGCAGGGCTGTTTCATAAACGCCCAGGGCCGTTTAGTAAATGCCAATTGTCCGGTCTGGTGGTTTTCCTCCCTTGACCCAATGCCTTCGGGCGGGCAGTCGTCGTCACTCCACCTCTACCCCCTCGGGATGGATACGGATGTCTGTAGGCTTAGGTCGGGCATGTCCCCCTACAGGCGGATTTGGGAGGAAAACTTCAAATTACCCTGGCGACGTACCCAACCCCTGCGCAATGCGGGGCATGAGTACATCAGTATTGCTACAACGGGGGCGATGACGTAACATGGACGCATGTGATTTTGCGAGCAGCAATCGGAAGGCTCGCAGGCCCCCGATCAAGATCTAAGGGCTACGTAATAACAAATCACCCCCGTTGGCTGCGCCATGCGCCCGTTGCGCCCAACGTATCCCACAGCAGCTCTTGAGAGCCCCCACAGGATAAGTGTAGGCGCAAAGTTATGGCCATCGTCCGGCAGCTGGTCTGTTTCACAAATCACCCCCGTTGGCTGTGCCATGCGCCCGTTGCGCCTAACGTATCCCGCAGCAGCTCTCCAGAGCCCCCCCAGGGACGGCGAGGTCCCGCTCAGATCCCCGCGGTGCCTCACTCCGCAGGACCCACCAGCAGCCCTCGAAAGCGGCGACGGTGTCGCAAATCGCAGCCCCCCAGGGACGGCGAGGTCCCGCTCAGATCCCCGCGGTGCCTCACTCCGCTGGACCCACCAGCAGCCCTCGAAAGTGGCGACGGTGTCGCAGATCGCAGCCCCCCCAGGGACGGCGAGGTCCCGCTCAGATCCCCGCGGTGCCTCACTCCGCAGGACCCACCAGCAGCCCTCGAAAGCGGCGACGGTGTCGCAAATCGCAGCCCCCCAGGGACGGCGAGGTCCCGCTCAGATCCCCGCGGTGCCTCACTCCGCAGGACCCACCAGCAGCCCTCGAAAGTGGCGACGGTGTCGCAAATCGCAGCCCCCCAGGGACGGCGAGGTCCTGCTCAGATCCCCGCGGTGCCTCACTCCGCAGGACCCACCAGCAGCCCTCGAAAGTGGCGACGGTGTCGCAGATCGCAGCCCCCCAGGGACGGCGAGGTCCTGCTCAGATCCCCGCGGTGCCTCACTCCGCAGGACCCACCAGCAGCCCTCTAAAGTGGCGACGGTGTCGCAGATCGCAGCCCCGCAGGGACGGCGAGGTCCCGCTCAGATCCCCGCGGTGCGTAACTCCGCAGGACCCACCAGCAGCCCTCGAAAGTGGCGACAGTGTCACAGATCGCAGCCCCCCAGGGATGGCCAGGTTCGCGCAAGGCAAGAGGAGACAAGACGGAAGCGGGAGACGTTGGGTGGACGCCCCCCCCCCTCGTCCTGCCGTGCTCCTGCTCGTTAACATTTGTCACGTGTCCGGAGCTACGCTGTCAATGCCGCGCTTTCCTGTGGCTTTGCTGCGTCCCTGCTCGCAACGCACACCGCCAGAGGCGCCGCCAGAGGCGGCGGAGAGCTCGAGAGCTCCACCTGCCAAAGTGCCTCCACCTCCTCAGGTGGTTTTGGGTGGATAGCCCCCCCACCTCGTCCTCGGGTGCGAGCGCCGACGGCCGACGGCCGCGGGCGCCCCCTGCAGCGAAGGTGGACGGGCCCAGGGCCCGCCAGGCGCGCGCCGCGCGCCGGCGGCGCTGGGAGGCCGCGGCCGCCTCTCCCGGGCGCCGAGCGCGCGCGGGGTGCTGCGCGGGGGGGAGCTCCCCCGCACGCCGTCCCCCGAGGCGTGCGGCTCGGGCGCCGAGCGCACACGGGGTGCTGCGCGGGGGGGAGCTCCCCCGCACGCCGTCCCCTGGGGCGTGCAGCTCGGGCCTCGGAGGCTAACTTTTCAAACTCACCACTCCACAGCGAACACAGTCCGCCAGCGGCGGCTGGAACCACCGCAGGCTGCACCGAGAGGGGCGCAGACAGCTGGGCGGAGCGGCGGCGGCGCCGACTCCGCCGCAGGCCTGAACAAACAGCGGAGCCTCAGCAAGCGAGTAGGAAGGGGAAGGGAGGCCTCTGGACCAGAAAACAAACGGCACCACCCCACCTACGGCCCCACGGGCCGTAGCGTATACCAAGACGTCTGGCGTGGGCTTGTTCATGGTATCCGCTACGGCCCCCGATGGGCCGCAGCGCAACAGGAAAGGCCATAAATTGGGGTGGGGTCGTGTGTTTTTTGGCCGAGAGGGGGCGGGGGCCTCGGGGGCGGCACACGAGCGGGTGCGGCCCTCGCACATCACAGGCGACTGGGGCCGAGGTCCTGCGAGCACCGAGCACGGTGCCGCCGGCTTCGGCGTCCTGCGGACCGCAGGAAGGGGCGCGTCGCACCGCACACAACAGGAGACAAGGGGCGGAGGGCTTGAGCAGTGGGGGAAGAAAAGGCGGGGAAGGGAGGAGGAGAAAAAGAGATAGAGAGAGAGAGAGAAGAGAGAGAGAGAGAGAGAAAAAAAAAAAAAAAAAAGAGTGAGAGGAAGCAGAAGGGAAGGAGCGAGGTAGAAAGTGTGCTTAACCTCATCGCACAACGCTAGCTCATGTCTGGAAAGAGGCCAATAATATCTTGGCGATTTGGCGAGACGCTTTATTGCCAAAATACGATGGCTTCTTATGATCCTCCTTCTTGTGAAAATAATGCGCAAGCGGTTCCCGACTGTCATTCGGAAAATACGAGCTGGTGATGTTGTATAAATCCAGAAACTCCAGCCCAAGTTTTTGCGCTTCCCTCTGCACTATGGTATTGATCATAACGATCCGTTCATTCGACATCCCGTTTTCGGAAAAAGGACACTTGTATTCTTGATGGACTGCCATTTCAGACGCGACTATCACCCGATGTGGTCTGCGACAGGTCTGGGCCACACGACGAAGCACGTCTATTACGTAACGCTCTGCTGTGTCAAAGGGGCTGCGGTCGATCTCGCACATGCCTATCGAGAACACTACAACGCTGTCTTTGCTCTCACACACCTGATGCTCGGCAAACCACGATGACAAATGCTTCTGATATGCGTCCGAGCTTTCCAAAGTTCCATACAATGGTCCTGGTTTCAAATCTTGCATGCAATCTCCCCACATGAAATGAACGTCGGGGCCAGTAGCAGAGCGCACGCTCATGTCACCGTGCTTATCTTTCGGGTGGTCGAACCGATACTCGAGCAAATGCAGCATGTCGTAAAAAAATGTTCGCGGTCTGGAAGTCCCAATGACTGCTATCTGCCCAACGCCGTGGGTGTTCTTCAGGTCTTCGCCCGAGGGGACTGCAGGAGTCCGCCCACCCCGTCGGCGTGTGGGGGGGCCTCTCCGCTCGAGTCGTCCTCTTCACCATCCGTTGGTCGCCGCTCCGGCTCCCCTCCCCGCGGCCCCGACTTCCCGTGGCACGTCGCCGCTCCCCCCCCCCCTGGTCCTGGGGCCCCGCTCCCCGAGCGCGCCAGCCGCAGCGGAATTGAGCCACGCCGCAACTCAATCGAAGGGAGGCCCCCTCCCTTACAGTCCCTCCCCCGTCGGGAGGGGCGGGGGGTCGCGCGGCATGCAGTGCTACCTCCAACCGACTGGACCTAAGCCCAACCAACTCGTACATTTTCCAGACAGCTCGAAAAAACAAACTGGTACGAATTCCAACCGGTCACATAACGTCACCGTACGACTATCATTGTAGGCGATGTTCGGATATCTCAAACCCAAATCATATGCTTACGTCTGCACCTTTATTCCAGAAGCTGACCTGATTGCCCGGATTGGATTTGTACCAGGTTTGTCAGGGAAGGTTACTGCAAGAGTGCAAGGGCCCAATGGCTTGAGGGATTCGGGGCTTAAGGGTTTAAGGGCTTCAGGGTTTAAGGGCTTGAGGGTTTAAGAGTTTGAAGGGTTTAGGGATTCGGGGTTGAAGGGCTCAAGGGTTTTAAGGTTTGTTTGACGGTTGAAGTCCTTGAGGGCTTAAGGGCGTCAAGGCTCAAGGGCTTAAGTGTTTCAAGGGTTCAGGTTTTAGGCGTGTAAGGGCGTAAGGCCTTAAAGGCGCAAGCGTTTTAGGGCTTGCGGGATAAAGGAATTGAGGGCTTAAAGGTTTGACAGCTTAAAGGCTTAGGGGCTTAAGGGTTAAGGTATCGAAAGGCTCAAGAGTTTCACGGTGCGCGGGCTGAAGGGCTTCAGGATTTGAGGGCTTAAGGGTTTAAAAGGCTTACAGGGTTCATTGTTTAGGTGCTTACGCCTTAAAAGGTTCAAGAATGTAAGGGCTTAACGGATTGGGGGTTTACGGACGGATTGGGGGTTTACGGGATTAAGCACGTAAGGGTTTTTTAATTCAAAGGTTTGAGGGCTCATAGGCTCATCATCATCGTCACCACCACCATCACCACCACCATCACCATCATCTTCTTCATCATCATGATTATCATTGTCATCATCATCGGCATTATCGTCATCATCATCATTATCATCATCATCATCATCATCATCATCATCATCATCATCATCATCGCCATCGCCATCGTCATCATCATCATCAGCATCATCATCAGCATCATCATCATCATCATCATCATCAGCATCATCATCATCATCATCACCATCATCATCATCATCATCATCATCATCATCATCATCATCATCATCATCATCGCCATCAGCATCAGCATCAACAGCATCATCATCAGCAGCATCAGCATCAGCATCAGCATCAGCATCATCATCATCAGCAGCAGCATCATCATCATCATCCTCATCCTCATCCTCATCCTCATCCTCATCCTCATCCTCATGCTCCTCATCACCACCATCATCATCAGACGCCTCTCAGAGACGCCTCTCAGAGACGCCCGTACGACGCCTCTGTGGCGCCTCTCAGAGACGCCCGCACGACGCTTCTAAGACGCCTCTCAGAGGCGCCCGCACGACGCCTCTAAGACGCCCGTACGAAACCTCTCAGACGTCCGTACGACGCCTGTAAGACGCCCAGACGATGGCTCTAAAACGCCTCTCAGACGCCTCTACGACGCCCGTGCGACGATTTTTAGACGCCTCTAAGCAGCTGGCACGACGCCTCTCAAACGTCCGCAAAACGCCTCTAGGACGCCTGTGGGGCTTCAGATTGAGGTCGGTTGGAACTCATCCTAAAATGGTTGGAATTAGTACCAAAGCGGATGCAATTTGTACATAGGTGGTTGAAATGGGTTCCAGTTGGTTGTAGTCCCCTTTCTGGGCCCTGGGGAGTGTCCCAAGGTGGGTCCCGGGGGGGGTCCTGGGTGGAGTCCTGGGGGGATACGACTCCCCCAGGGGTCCTGGGGGGAGTCGCCACCCATCCTCCCTCCCAGGGGGTCCCGGGCCCCCCAAAAAAAACCCAAGACGGGCCAAGAGTGCCCGAAGAGGCCCCCAGACTGTCCAAGAGGGCCCCGCATCGCGGAAAGACCTGTCCAAGACGCGTTCGCGGCTTCCTGAAGGCCCATGAGGCCTGCAATGCGCCCGAGGAGGCCTCTTGGCCCCAATGAGCAAAACTCACCCATTTCCTTTTAACTTTTGAAAGCGCGCTCGCCTCTTCCGCTTCCTCACGCTCCAAGATGGCCCAAGAGGCCCCCAAGATCGCCCCAAGACGGCCCAAAGTCCTCAAATAGGTCCCCAACATGACCCAAGGGGGCCCCAAGACGGCCCGAGACGCCTCCAAGACAGACCAAGAGGCACCCAGGACGGCTCGAAGAGGGTGCCAGGACGGAGAACCCGAACGGACATCTCGAGCCCTCGACCCCGAGAAGCTCTCAGGAGACCCCAAGAGACCTTGAGCACGTCCCCCAAAAGCCCCTGGGAAGCCCCTCGAAGCCCCGAATCCCCCAAGAGGGCCCCAAAGGGTCCCCACAAACGCCCCAGAACTGCCCACCAGAGGCCCCCGAAAACGCTCCGAAGAGACCCCGAAAAGCATCCCCGCCACCCCTTGCTCCTCACTCTCCTCTTCCGCATCCTCCTCCTCCTCCTCCTCCTCCTCCTACTCCTACTCCTACTCCTACTCCTCCTCCTCCTCTCATGTTCCTCTGCCTCGTCTCAGCGGAGACTCAACACAGGGCACGAAACGAGCAGTCAGCCCCTGAATTCGGGAAAAGAACAAGTCGTGCGTAAGTGGGGAAAAAAATAAGGCGGAGTCTCGTTCAAACGGCAGGCGCCTGCTTCACAAGTCCGTCCGTGAGGGGCCTGGTGTGTCTTGAATTCCTGGCGGCCTGGCTGGCCGCGGTGTCGAGGGCGAGCTGCGCGACTCTTTCGGCCGACAACGGCGATGCGTTCGCTATGTCCCACAGCCAACAAGAATTCTGCATTCTGGACCAGTGCGCAATGAGACGCAGGTGGGTCGAGAGTTTTCTATTGGCACGACCAGCAAACCCCATCCGATTCAGCAAACAGCCTGCGTTCAGTGCGGGCACCATGCTTGATCTGGGCGCGAGCCAACATCACTTGCTGCGCGACATATGTCCTGTCACATGTCCAACACTGATGCACTGCAACCGCCTGCTAAGCACATATAGCCCGCGACGCGTTGCACACATACTCTTATAAATGAGCTGACGATACAACAGCGTGCCGAAAATCAGCGCGAGTGCTCACTGAATCGAACCACGCTTCTGGGGGCTCTCGCGGGCATGGGAGACGTTCCTTGACCAACGGCAACAGTCGGAAGCACCCGTTTAAATCGTATCTGACCGCGCGCAACCAGGGGAGCTCTTCGAAGGAGCCGCCGGCCCGCGCGCGAGCCTGCAACAACAATGCCGGCAACGCCCTGCTGTCAGACCTCAAGGGGCAAGCGAGGCACGACAACCTCTGGCACAGAAGAGTCCAATCCAAGGACGCCACGTTCGCAGCCGCGCGCGCTTCAATGACGGCGCCGGCAGCGCCATCAAAGTTCACGCGATGGCACATCCGACGAACAACGCGCATGCGAGTCTCGACACGCGCAGCTCGCGCACCTTCAACACCCCGACGTAAGTATTGAATAACCGCTTCGACTGGATGTAGTTTCGACACAGGGAGAAACGCAGGGACAGCTGCAAACCGCCGCTGCCGAACACCTTCGTAGCAATAGACACATACGACGCAAGCGAACTGCAGGAGCGCTGCTTAACTTAAGGGGTGTTGAATCCGCTCACGCTCGAGACGCAGCGAAGGTGTTTGTACTGCGAAAAAACTTACGAGGACGCGTCGCCCCCCGGCGGCCTTTCAGAACAACCAGTGCAAGGGCACACGCACTAGTGAACGCAAAGCCACCAAACTTGCACCCCTGTCTGCCGCCCGTTTTCGCGTGGACGCACACGTCGCACCCGGGGCATTGAAACCGCAATCCCGCGTGTAGTTCACGCACGAGGGAGGTCACCATGGGATGAATGCCCATCTGCTCAAGAGCTGCTCCGCGCGCGCCGATGCTATCGCCAAGAAAATTCGCCCCGTCTTCGGCGCACCCGCAAGGGGCGAGGCAAGCAAGCCTGGGAGCGCGGTCGCGGCCAACACATCTTGGGCATCCAAACATCACCTCCCGAAGCACACCATCGAAGACCCACGAAAAGACCGCGCGACATTGGCAAGGCGCAGTCAAGACAAGAGAACAAGAAGTGGCGCGCAAAGTCAGCGCCACGGAGGGCGACCCCCCATTTTGCGACGCCAGCATGAAGTTGGAGCAAGGCTCATGCATCGATCGTGTCTTTAAGAATCGATATCATCACCTTATCAATATGACCACTGATCAACAACCCGCGGCTGCTGTCTGGGCCCAGAGCGTCGCCCATACCTTTACAGAGATCCTGCGCACGGCCGCCCTTCCACCGAACGGGCCCGCGGCCCTCGGCAACGACGCGTCAGCAAATGTCGGGCAAATTATTCGCCGCGGCGGCGCCGCCGACGCAGCGCAAGGTAGCGCTGATTGGAACGGGCCCCAGAACCCCACTCAAACTCAATGTCCGAACAGCGTCTCGCACGCGCGCCGGGCCGACTTCCAGCTCCGAGCCGAAAGGCCCTTCCGGGAAGGGCACCAACTCCCTGACATCCTCGACGAGCGCCCCTCCAACAACACCCATGAAGTGCCCCTGCCACCTAGCGCGTCTCATGCTCGGCGCAAGACGCGGACCCGTCGTTCAAGCGGACAGCCTTGCGCTGGCGGCGCCCCTGGCCGGCCAACAACAGAACAATGGCGCGCGCGCCTCGGCTCTCGCCGATCCGAGCAAGACTGCGCTCTGAGCGCCGGTGCCTTAAAAAAAACGCCTCGGCCACAGCGAATCAAACGCGACCCCGATTTCTGCCGCATCGCGATCGACTGACACGTAGCGGCTGCAACGTGACGACACAGCACCCACGTCCCCCGCGCACCCCCACAATGGGCGCGCGCCACCCATCCGAGACCGCAGGCGGCAGCACGACGCCGATTGCCGACGCGGCCCAAGACAACGGCGCGAGCGGGCGGAGCTTCAGCACCCTCGACCAGCCAGACCTGCGGACAGGGGGGGGACGGGGGCGGAGAGAGCGGGGAAGAGGAAAGGGGAGGACGGGGGGGAATGGAGGGCGAAGGGAAGAGAGGCGGGGAAGGGGAGGAGGAAGGAGAAAGGTGCAGGCGGGCGGGGGCGAGAAGGGATGGGCTTCCGGAGCATCGAACCCCATCCCATGAAGCACGCCGTCTGAAAATAAAACGTTCTGGCGCGCCTGGCTGCGCGCGCGATCCGCAGGCAGTGACCAACGCTTTGGAACGTAATCGCGCCAAGTCTCAGTTGGCGCTCACGGCCTCACGGGCGCGCTCTACGCGGCGCCGAAGACGCGACGGGCGTTGCGAAGTAGAAACGCGTTGAACTGATGCGCGTGATCGTCGATGCCAATAGTTGGACCTGGTTTACCCACATAGCACGTTCGAACTGCTGGGGCGAACCACAGGTCGTGCACAGCATGGGGGTTGACAGGAGCGCCTCCTCAACGCGTCGAACACCCCGGCTCGCGGCCGCTCTCCTGAGGCGCGACTTTCACAAAACATGCGACAGCACGGCGGTCTGCAGAAGCCGAGCGGGCGAGCTCCACTTCATCGAGGACAATGCAGGATTTCACGAATGGGCGCAAGCACGCATCGAAACACATGTAGTCGACGCGGCGAGTGGCGCCCGACGCGCGCTTCCATGCATGACCGGCATCGAACCACGCGCCGGCAGCGAACAGAGCATGCGAGGGCAGAGACGTGCGGAACGACAGCCCGTTCTCGTTCTCAACGTCGGCTTCTCTATCCCCCAAACTGCTACACGGCACGGAGGCGACGCGAGCCTTCGCATCCATAAAAACAGCGATGCGAAGGCAAAACCCCTGCGACGAGGACACGAGACCCGCGATGCTGCCCCAGAACGCGCCGCGGCACTCGGCAGGCAACTCGCCACGAGGCGAATCAAAAAGGAAAATTTGAACAAGCGAGCTCACCCTTTCAAGCCTGCCCACAACCTCAACAATGCGACAACAACGGTGGCCGGCCCCCCCCCCCGCGCTCCGGCCAGCGGGGAAGCGAGCAGCACGCTGGCCTCCAGCCTGCACGGCCACGGTCGCAGAAGCCCCTGACGCAGCAGAGGATCGGCGACACGCAAGAGTGACCCTAGGCAAGAGTGCCCTTTGGTGCGCGGCCATAGGGGGGCCCGTGGGGGCCTGGAGCAACCGCGCAAGCCTAGGCCGTCGGATTGCATCAACGATCGGCGGGGCGCGGGGCGCGCTTCGATAGATCCCTAGCGCCAGCAGGCAATCGCGGACTTCCGCCAATTCGTTCGGGGCGCCCCAGAACGCCCGCCCGAGGGCTCTGCGAAGCCAGACGTAATCGGGCGCCACCGCGGAATGTTCCGGCACTGCCGGGCCGCATCGCGATGACGTCTGACCGGGCCCGGCGCCAAGGCCGAAACGATGCCGAAAGTTGGCCCCCCCGCGGCCGCAAATAACTTGCAAGGATAAAGAAATGAGTTGTAAAGCGAGGAATGCGAAAAGTTATTCAAAGTTATTCAAAATTTAATCAAAGTTAGTCAAAGTTATTCCAGACGATTTGGGGCCATCTCCAAGCGGAGAGCACGTCGCCCGCTCGACCGGGCCCCCCCTCGCCAAACGAAGCACGCGGCAGAACACACCGTGCATGCGTTGCGATCGCTTGCGAGGGGCGCACCCTGAATCAAGCGCGCTCTGATGCGATCGCAGACTGGCGCAGCGTGCGCCGACGCGAGGCCGAGCGCACTCCTCAAGAAAATCTGGCCCGACCCCGTTAGGGTCAACACTAAAGGTCACTCTGGCCAAGGGTCACTCTTACGTGTAGCCGAGAGAAGCCCGTCGAAGCAACTGCAGCTGCTGCGCTCGATGCGGACGCCAATGATGCTGAGCTCGACGAGACGGCACCAGGCCCTCGCAGGCGCGCCCGTCGAGCACGGCTGGGCAGGGACCCCAGAGGAGGGGAAGTTTCAACTCGAGTGTGGTTCTCGAGCCAGTGCCTCAGACCGAAGTACTCGTAGTCGCGTACCCCAACTACCACAAACTGCTGCACGGGGCTCAGCACGCGCGAAGAAAGGCCTGTCTACTGCGCGCTCCTGCGTGCCATGCCCGTGGAAATATGTCACGAGCAAGCTGCGCACTGTCCTACATGCGACCTTGGAGCTGTCTAGCGAATCTGGGGCGCTGCAACTCTTGCCTCAAGTAGGCCTCGGAAGGCGAGCAGATCGTCATTAGGGACCCATTCATGAAAGTTGTGGATCCATCGCTGGGCCCACCGTCGCACTTGTGCTTCCAGCCGAGGTGCAGGGACGACCTCCTTCGCTCCTGCTGCAGCCCAATGGTGATCTCGACGTCCATGAGCGCGCGGTCTACCAGCCGCTGGGACAGCAGGGGTGCCCCCACTCCCCCGGCGCACTTCACGCGGTGGCTTTTTCTGGCCCTCAACGGGGCCAGCGAGCGCACCGCTCCACGAGGTCACCGTAGATGACGCGGAACGGCAAGAGGTCGTGGACGATGCCCTCGCCAGCGCATCCGACAGGGCCGTTGATGTAGGGCAGGAAATGCGCGCCCTTGCATGCCAGCGGTTGCAGCCGAAGGTGACTCCAGCATGCCGATCCCAAGGGCGCTCATCAGAGGACAAGGGGGCGACAGGCTTCATATCCCAACCATCTCCCCATTGGCTGTCCCATTCTGGCTGCCCAGAGGTTGGGTTCGCATCTGCGTCGGCGTAGATGTCAGCATTCTCGCGCGCACTCGAAGGAGTCGACGCCAAAACTGAATACTGATAGCTGTACCTGCTGCATCCGACGCACGTGTTACCCCTGCTGCTGCGGCGCGGCCGACGTCCCCGTAGCCGCCAGCTTTCTTTGGCAGTCTGGATAATGGAGGGCGTCGCACGGCTAGGCTTGGTGCCCTTCGCCAGTGTACATCCCACCCCAGTAGGTGCACCAGCTGCTCCAGCAATTCCTCCTGAGTCAGCGGCGGCAGGTTGCGCTGGCCCCACTGGAGATTGAGCAGCTTGGGTACATGTCGTTGTCTGTCCGCCATATGCAGGGGGGTTCGTCTGCGTTCCTCTTGTTGGCGGCCAAACGTTTCTGCTGTTCAGAATGTTCCTGCTTGAGCTCCTCCGCTTCGGCACGGACGCGGCCAAAGCATTCCTTGGTCATCTCTCGAAACTTCTCTTGTAGGGCCGCGTTCCTTCTTTGAGCCTCCTCACGGTCGTCAGCCGATACCAACTCGCCCAGTTCGTCCAAACCGAGCAACCCTCCGTCGTCCAAGTCAACAGTTTTGCCATCGAGGATGGCCGCCAGGTCCAACTTTTGACCTGCCTGGGGTTGTGTTTTGTCGGACCGGCTGGTGTCCACACTTTTGGCCAACTTTGAAACAGCTTTCCTGTGGACATCCCTGCCGAAATCCCCAGTCTCCGAGCACTCCTGGACCTGGTCCTGGGCATCGACGCATTGGGTCTCGACCTTCTCACTGTAGGCAATGGCACGGCGGAGGGACGCCTCAGCTTGTTCCATCTTCTGCTTCGCCTGGCCCACAGCGATGTTCTCAATGGATTGCTGCTGGATGAGTTTGTCCAGCTTCTCCTCGTACTGGTTTGCCGAAGTGTCGTCTCCATTCTCTCTGACCAGCTTGATGAGTTCGGCCAGCCGTCTCTGCTCAGGAGTGGCGCCACTTGGATCAGGCCATTCGGAATCCGACAGGATGAAGTGTTCAGCGCCAGGGCGGCCACCGCCAGCGAAGGAGACACTGGGCGTCCGTCGAACAGTGCCTGCTGGGCCGGCCGAGTCGGGGCCTTATGGTTGAAGGTTGCTGCGTTCACGCCATGGGGCACCCTGAAGTCGCCCAGCACGTGGCCCAGGAGAACAATCAGGCCCACGAGGCCGAATGGCAACCACCTGCAGACTGTCCGAGAGAGGAACCTTGCAATGCTTGCACCATTTCCACAAGCGCTTGTTCCTGGCACATCCGCACTGGCTGCACTTGGTGAAGCCGACGTCCCGTCCTGGTGTGACTGCCCGCGGACCATGGCACGACCCAGCCCCAACTGAGCCACGGCCTGGGGTGCCTGCACGCTGCATGGCTGCGGGCACTGTGAGCGGGGACGCACACAAACAGACGTCGTGTTGGCAAGAACAGCGTCCACGACCGCACGAGGGCTCGTCGTGGAGATTGTGAGAGACAATAGCCTGCTGTGGAACAGCTCACCTCGAGCCAGCCCCTCGGCTGCAGGCAAGTACAAAGCCGCAGGGTCACGGTTTCGTACTTGAGCCAAAATGGCTACGGTCCTCCTCCTGCTCTTCCTGCCCCTCCTCCTCCCCCTCCTCCGTGTCCTCATTCTTTTCCTGCTCCTCCGAATCCCATGATCCTCGTCATCCTACTGCTCCTTCCCCCCGTCTTCCCCCTGCCCCTGCTCCCCCTCCTCATCCTCCTCCGCATCCTCCTCCTCTCCCTCCTGCTGCTCCGCCGCGTCCTCCGCCTCCTCCTCCTGCTCCTCCTCCCCCTCCTCCCCCCCGTCCTCGTCGTCGTCTTCAGGGTCGGCGGCACCGGCCGTAAGGGCCTTCACACTAGTGCATCCACCCCACGGGTGCCAAACGCGCTTCAAATTTGAGATCTGCCAGAATCCTTTTGTAGGGTCGTCACGCTTGAAATCGCAAGTTCGCCGATTTGTCCTAAATAAACCCATGTTGGAATAGGCAGCACAAGTGGGCGATAGCTCAATACCACACGTCATGCTCCGATTGCCAAACATCTTGTTTGTATTGGGGCCTGCTTGACCCAGACCCTTGATGTAATGATGGAATATGTCCACCGCGTACCACCCTGGAAATGGCAAAACGAACTCAGCACTGTTGAACTCCACCACCTGCGGGAGGCGTATGTCAACCCCAACAGTGAAATCTTCAGGACCATGGACGTGCGCTTTCATAACATCGCCAGATTCACACTCTGGACCTATGGATTCCACTGTTAGCTTCAGTCGAACACCGTCGGGGCCATGCTTTGCAGACGACTCAATTCCAAACTTTGTGCTGCAATTAACAAAGTCCAATCCGCTATGCAACTTAACGGGGTACTGCCAACACGAGTCTAACGTAATACACTCGTCTAGATGACTCTGTACTTGGTGGATTGGAGCCGCATCGAGACGAAGACTCGTCGCCCCTGATAGTGTGGAAGAGATAAGCAGTACGAGCGCATATTCTATATTGTAGAGGCATGGCATGTACGGTGATCAAGTCAGCACGAGCTTGCATCAATCATGCGCGATGCGAGCATCCTTCAGCCCAACTGGCTACGGACGAAAGGGCATCGATATTGGGGGAGGAGGGAGGGAGGTGAGGTTTTGGGGAGGTATCGGCGCGTCTTGACATATGCTAGGGGAGAGTGATCCCTCCTCCTCCTCCTCCTCCTCCTCCTCCTCCTCATCATCATCATCATCATCATCATCATCATCATCATCACCACCACCACCATCATCATCATCATCATCATCATCATCATCATCATCATCATGATCATCATCATCATCATCATCATCATCATCATCATCATCATCATCATCATCAAGCATCAGCATCAGCATCAGCATCATCATCATCATCATCATCATCATCATCATCATCATCATCATCCCTACTCCTCCTCCCCTCCTCCTCCTCCTCCTCCTCCTCCTCCTCCTCCTCTCCTCCTCCTCTCCTCCTCCCTCCTCCTCCTCCTCTCTCCTCCTCCCCCCTCCTCCTCCTCCCTCCTCCTCCTCCTCCTCCGCCTCCTCCTCTCCTCCCCTCCGCCTCTCCTCCCGCCTCCTCCTCCGCCTCCTCCTCCTCCTCCTCATCCTCCTCTCCTCTCTCCTCTCCTCCTCCTCCTCCTCCTCCCTCGTCCTCCTCCCCCCCCGCCTCCTCCTCCTACTCCTCCTCCTCCTCCTCCTCCTCCTCCTCCTCCTCCTCGTCCCCAGACACTCGACGGATCAACCTTCTCGAGCCATGGACCTCTGGATCCATCGCCCCCTTCTCTGGGGCCAGCTTTTCGTCCCCAACTGTTTCTCCCCGACATCGGCCCCTTGAGGCCCGACACATCACATGAAGCTACCCTGGCGAAGAACTCAACCCTTTTCTGAAGGCATGGAAATTATCAACGGGACCGCTCAATCCACAAGAACTCGTTCGGGGTTGCCGCAGTACCCCTGAGAGCTACACCCCTTCTCGCACACGGTCGACCCCTGCCACTGGGGCCGTCGGTGGAGCTCCCTCTTGGGCCACGAAATGTGTGAGTGGTGCGCCGACATGCACCCGAGGTGCCGGCCGAACCCCGCAACTCGAGCCTTCGGTGGAGCTCCGCATGGGGCCACGAAAAGTTGTGAGGGATGTGCCGAAATGGACCCGAGGCGCCATGCGAACCCTGCCACTGGGGCATTCGGTTGAGGCCTCTACTGGGCCACCATGTCCATCCCTGGCTGCCACAGGCCTAACACGATCCTCCTTGTGCAGGAAAGGCGGCGGACCAGCGGAGCCCCGGGTAAGAGCGGTAAGAGAGAGAGAGAGAGTCAATGACAGAGGGAGGGTAAGGGCGGAGAGAGAGCGGGGCCCTGGGCGCGCTCTAAGCGCGCTAGAACCAAAAGGGGCTTGCGATACGGGCTGATTTTCTGTCCTCGCACAGCACTTGCGTCGCGAAGCCAGTCGACTTGGAGGGAGGCAAGACATTGCTTGCGAATCCCACCAGCCCTCTGGGCGTCGGTGGTTTAGGGCGTTTCCTCTTCCACCCCTCCCTCTTCCCCTTCGGGGAGGGGGTTACCCCTCCCCCTACCCCCTCCCCACTGACCTGGACAGGAGGGGCGGGGAGCGGTCAGAGCGTCCAAGATGGCCCAGGACGGCTCCAAGAGGGCCTCAGAGAGCCCAAGATCGCCTCCAAGATGGCTCAAGATAGCGCAAGATGCCTGAAGATGGTTCAGAAGACGCTCCAACACGTTCCAAGACCGCTCCCAGATGGTTCCAAGTGCCCACAAGAGCATCATTAGAGTACCCTCAAAAGGCCGAAATGCTTCAAAACCCTAGGGAAAATCAATGTTTTTGGTGTTCTCACTTTTTCGCTTCCGAAGTCCATCCGAGGCCTCAAGATGGCGCCAAGATGTCCCAACTGGGCCCCAACAGGGGCCCAAGAGAGCCTCGAGACTGCCTCAACAGCGTCCAAGAGCGCTCCAAGAGCGATCCAAGAGGGGTCCAGGAAGCGATGTTAGACAGTCTGGAGGGGCAACGCTAATTAAAGCTCTGCTCTTATTTGATAGATTTGCTCCAAAATGCCCCGCCAGAGTGCCCAAAAACTGTTTCAAAACTGCCCAGGACGGCTCCAAGAGGGCCTCAGAGAGCCCAAGATTCCCTCCAACATGGCTCAAGATAGCGCAAGATGCCTCAAGATGGTCCCGAAGATGCTCCAAGACGCTCCAAGATCGCGTAAAGACGACTCCAAGTACCCACAAGAGCATCACTAGGAAGCCTCTAGGAGCCCAAAAATGTTTCAAAACCCTGGAGAAAATCAATGTTTTTGGCGTTTTCACCTTTTCGCTTGCGATGCACATCCAAAGGGGTCAAGATGACTCCAAGATGGCTCAAGATAGCTCCAAGAGGGGCCCAAGAGAGCCTCAGGACGGCTCCAAGAGCGGCCACGAGCGCTCCAAGAGCGATCCAAGAGGGGTCCAGGAGACGATGTTTGGAGCTCCTGGGGGGCGAGCCAAGTTGAGGGACCCTCCTTCGTTGATCGATCTCCTCCTAAATGGCTCCAAGAGACGTCTTGGACTCTCCTCTTGGGCCCTGCGTTCGGGCGGGCGGAGCGCCGCCCGCCCGCCCGCAAGGCCCAAGAGCCCACCAAACCGTTCGAAGATACCTCCAAGACGCCACCAGGGAGGAGGAAGAGGCGGAGGAAGAGGAGGAGGAGGAGGAGGAGGAAGAGGAGGAGAGGGAGGAGGAGAGGAGGAGGAGGAAGAAGGCGGAGGAGAAGGAGGAAGAGGGGGAGAAGAACAGCTGCCGATCATCGGCGTTATTCGTTCGAGTGCCTGGTGTAGGATGGGCTGGTGGGGATATTTTTTTTTACAGCCGCAGGCGGAAGCGCCGGCGGCGGCGGGTCACGGTCGGGCTGCGGCCGTAACAAATTAGCCAGGCGCGCGCGGGGGCCGCGGATCAGGCGGCGGTGCAAGCTGCAGCCCAGGGAGTCTGAAGGGAAACAGCCACCCAGGAAGCAGGGAGGGCGCTGCCAAAATGGCGCGACGCACACCCCCAGTCAAGGATCGTGTCGGTCCGACGATCACAAGGCAGTGGGGATCTGACTCCGTGCAAGAAGAGCGTCAGAGAGCCCAGGGCGTCTGCCGGGCATGAGCGAGACCGTAGGCAAGAGAGCTGACGCCGTCCAGCAGGGAGAGGGGACTCTGACAGCGCCAGCGAACCGTCGCAGCTTCAGAGTACGCATCCACGCGGCTGAAGAGGCACGCCTGAAGTCAGTGACAACCGGAGTTAACCCTCGAACCAACTGCGGAAGAACGCGTTCGCACGCGAAAGATCAACGACATGATGTGACGCAGTGCAAATGTACACCTGCTCCCGACCTTGGCGAGAGACACGACGGCCAACCGAAGGTGACAGGGCGTGTACCAGGAAGCAACTAAGTGACATAACAAAGAGCAGCTCTCCAGGAGACTCTGATGGACCAGAAAGAGGAAATAGCGCTCTGAGAAAGCTGCGCTGCCGCATACCCACTGCAGCACACGCAATCCGTAGTCACGAAGAAGCCCAGGGAGTGACCGCTCAACAAGGTTGAGCGTGGGAGCGACGATGGGGTGACGTCAGTGCGCACGGATCCTTGCGGCGAGCGGTGCGCCACTAGCCACTGGGGTAGCACGCCTGGGCCAACCGCTGGCAGACTGTGGTAAGTCATGTACGGGCAGAGTCCGAGTACGGCCGCAGCGGACCGGGCGGGCATTCCAGCCGACGCAGCGGGGCGAATCACGTCACAAGACCGCCTGAGCAACGTTGAGACCCACTGACGATGAGTCCAAGCCCAGGGTCGCTCCCAAGGAAGGCGGAGAAGCGCGGCTGAAGGCCGTAGTATCTTGGGGAAGCCCAGGGAGTGAGTGCACGGCTCTGAAGGTGACGAAGCGAAGCCATCTTTGCGTCGGTCACTGAACCGCGGGCCGGGGCGAGCCTGGCAAGGTGAAACCAGCTACAGCGGGGCCGGGTGCCACTATGACTACACGCAACACGCACGGGTGTTGCAATGCAGACGGCATTGCTGGTACACACACTTGGGTCCAAAGGCAGGAAGTGCACGTACCAGGGAGGGCGGCGGAGGGCCGCCAAACGAGTATGGTGTCTGAAGAGCAGCTGAAGGCCGCTGTACTTGAGTGAGAACCCAGGGATTGAAAGCGCGACTCAGGACTGAGACGAGGCGGAGCACTTGCGTCGGTCACGAAGCCGCACGGCCGGGGACGGGATCCGCCCGGGCCAGAAGTGAGAACAACTACAGCGGGGCCAAGGGCCAACTAAGGTCTGCACGCAGCACTCCCCCGCGCTGCAATGAAGATGGTATTGCTGGTCGACACACTTGGGTCCTAAGGCAGGAAGTGCGTGCACCAGGGAGGGCGGCAGCAAGGCTGCCACACGGGTTGAGAGAGCACAGCGAGGCAGCTGAAGGCTGCGCGAAGTGCGAAGCTCGGACGCCACACCTGTCCCTCTAGGGGATGGGATGGGTGGGAGGGGAGCTCAGTCGCCCCATCGTTGCCATTTTTTATCCACGATCGTCTGGCCTGCCGCCACCACGCTTGCCTCCTGACAGCCACCGGTCGTCGTGCCAGCCAGCGCTCCAGTCACTCTGCCAGTTGTCCCAGGCGTCCCAGGAGCTCGTCGCCCGCTCGCGCCAGCTGCTCTGCTGGTGGTTGCCCTTGCCCGTGCCGTCGGGCCAGGTATGGCGCAGGCATTCGGCCCGCACCGTTGCCCAATCGATGCGGAAGTTGAACCTCCTGTCCATCAAGTAGGCATTGTATCCGCAACCCTTCCAGTCATCCAAAAACTTGTTGATGGTCGCGCCCGTGTGCAGCCTCGAGTCTGACTTGGGTTCCCTGGTCCCAGGGATCCGGATGCCTTGTGTGTAGGCCGTCCATAGAGCACAGAATACTCCACCCAACTCTATTTGGTGCCTGGTGATGCGCTTGGCGGGTAACTCTCCGCGGCGCTCCAAGTCCACGGAGCCCAACCAGGCCTTGTACATGGGGCCTCCATGGGCGTCGGTCAGCTGGTTGAGTGTGTGTCGCTCCG